AGGTAATATTTTTAATAATTCAATAAATCAAAATATTAAATAATTGTGCAAGTAGCAGGATTCATCCCTTTTTTGCTCTGAACAAGGTCAGAGTCCCAAGAAAACCACTGTTCAATCACAAAATTAAAGACTATAAAGACAGCATTTGAGTTCAGGCATTCTCATATTCAAACTTAATGATCCTTTAATGTAATACATGAGTATCGTGTCTGTAAGCATATAAATATATAGGTACTCATGTATACATAAGTAGAAGCACAAGCAATCAGCAAATTACTGTAACACCAGCTGTGTATATATAGCACTAGGAAGCTCAGAGCCACTAAACTTAATGTGGTGGCTTCATAATGTGGTGGCTTCACTGCTTTCCCCCTCACTTTTTCTACCATATATTCTGTGCTTCCTTTGGTTGCTCTTCTACTATCGTTGTAAGCTCTTTAGGACTGAAACTTCAGACAACTTTTCTTCCAGATGATAAGAAAAAGCACACAGCCAAATATTCCTGATGTAGTTCTTTTATCTCTGAATAAATTTTGGTACCAATATCCTCAGTCCCTCAGTGGGCAGACATCTTTTATCTATGATGGTGCCACTCCAGCAACAGAAACATGTGAGTAATTTTTCTTAAAATGCTCTTCAATGAAAATAAGGGTAACAGAAACTTTTCTGTGTGTCAGTCATAAAATAGTCCCAGTGATGACAATTCCAAGCTTTGCAGTGTTAGTACCAGGGAACATGACTCCTGTATCCTGGTAGCTGTGTACCTCAGGAAAATGGAAATTAAGGACCAGTCACATTCCAGTACTGGTTGCATCCTCTTGCTGATAAGCAATCAGATGACACAGAACCAAGCTCTCTGGTTTATGAGTAGCAATTGCCAAGTCATCCTCCAAGAGGATGAAAAATTGAAAAAAAAAAAGAAAATTGCATGCAAAATTATAAAATAAGTGAAAACATTAATCATAATTAAACAGAACCACATTGATTTTTGCCAGCTGGATTCAGCCACTGACTGTGATAGGAAGGCTCTTCTCTCTTGGTTAACCCTGCAGAGAGCTGGATTAATTCTTTATAATTAATTTCTTAGGTAATAGTGCAAATATTTGTCAAAACAGTTGATCCACCACAAAATTAAATATGGGGTGGGGAACAATAAAAACTCTTAATATATTTAAAACAAAGATAAAAATACTCAACCTGACTGGATCAATGGAGGGGGAAGAAAATGTTCTTTATATGAACTGGTCACTCATGTAAAGCAGAATTACTTGGATCTGAAAAATGGTTCACCACCCATCCATTCCTTTACACAAAAGGCCTATCTTACATCACTGTTCAAGGCAGTTGCAATTAAATTTATATTTATAGAATCTTAAAATACTTTTAAGTATATTCATTACGTTCACAGTGACATTGCTCTGAAGGACGCTATATAAATGGAAGCTGTGCTTACAAGCGATCACTGCAGATAAACAAATATCTTGAAGGACTCACTCTGCACACAAAGGAAGTTGCCTTGCTTTGTTTACGGGGAGATTAGCTCCCTCCAGCTGACATAATACATGGGAGATAAAATAACAAAAGGAAACACTTTGCCATGCAGTGTGAAATCAGATCCCGATGCACCTTCAGGAGAGTGCATGAGGGGGCAAGTTTGTGGGGGCAAGAACCCTTTGTCTCCTTATTTGTCTGTATAGCACCAAGCACATAACTGTGATTTACATCTCACAGCATACATCTACATGATATTAACAAAGGGGTTACCAAATGAGGCTGAATAATGCTAGCAAATTGTAACACAGTTAAAAATAAATAATCAAATATTCCTCCCCCGGATCTACAAAAGCAGTGCTGCATCCATGCATCAGTTAAGTATTCAAACCCTATCAGAAGGGAGGAGTGAAATAATGTTTATCTCTAAGAAATCATTTTACAGTTTAGTGTAAAAGATCTGCCAAGTATAGTAGACTTCAGTACTACAGTACTGTTCTCCTAAAACCTGAAGTTAAAGTCTAAAGGATATACAGCAACTGTGTTTCTTTTCTTCATTAAGGAATTTCAGGATAGTTCCCAGCATCTGCCAGAATCCCCAACACCAGCACTTAGCCCAAAGTTCACATCTTGTTGGCTGTCTTACCAGCTAAAACAATGATTTCAGTAGGTGTGATTCTTACCTTCTATCATGCCTGTTGATCCAGGACAGAAAGGCCTCCTGCTCACAGAGCTGTACAGAAATTGCATTTTTTATACTGTTTCATCTATGAATAAGAGCAGCTCAGCTCACATATGTACTTTAGTGCTTTCCAGGAGTACAATAGTGTTTTTTCAGGAAGAACTGCTGTCTTATGGGCTGGAAGGCTAAATTACAGTTTTGTGGGCTGAGATTTAAAAAAAAAAATCCTCATTTATCAGGGGGACTGCTAAACTCTAGAATGTATTATGGGTACTGTAAAGGACATTAATGAAGAGACCCATATTTCAGGTGTGCTGCTTTTTTTTTCTCGTGTCTTTTCTGCTTTTAATTATTTGGTGCTTCTACACCTATAACAACATCTTCCTCTAAGTTGTTTCATCTCATAAACAGGATATTTAGTGGAAATGTAGTGTTTTGTCTTTCTTTTTAAGGATTTAGCTAACATACATACTGAGGTATGCATATGATTGCAAAAACCTGCAGTAGAACCTTAAAGTCCACTCTTTAACATGAACATAAAATTCAGACATGATTATCTGAATTTTTGTTTATATTCTGGATAAGTTTAAAGTATTAAAACTAATTACATGTATGTTCTACTTAATAGAGATTCCTTTACAAGGATTATTTTTAATATTTCCTCCTTCTCTGCAGGAGTTATAAAGCTGTAACTATGCAATGCTTTATTCAGTTCTGTAATATTTGTAAAACTGTCCACAGTAAATAAAGTGTGTTGGGGTTTGGGTTTCTTTCAAGATAACAATACAGCTGATATAAAAAAAATTTCCTTGCTTTAATAAAGAGGAAAAAATTGGATACCTTTTCTTAAAAATATAATGGTATTATTAAAAATGTAATTTCTCAAGGTGGGAATCAGTTTCTGAAGTAATAAAACCCATTTTCTAGAAGAAAACATCTCTGAGCTGTTGCAGTGTCTAAGCACATGAGCATTTAACACATTTTTCCTTATTGCATTCCAAACAAAAGTGGGTACAATGAGTTTTCACACTGGATACAGCAAACTCAACTGCGACCAAAAGGAAAAAAAAAAGAAGGTAAACAGTTGAAGAGTGTGAGGTAAAGGGCATGACTTTCACACTGTTTAACAGTACGAGCAGTTCTGAACTCAGCACAGATGAGGGTACCTGCATCTGGTACAACTGAACAAGGAATTCTGTCTATATATTGGATCTAATATTGGCATGAACAATATTGCATTAAGAAATTAACAAATATTTGCTTATAACCAGATTAATTTGATAGATTATTTTATTTTAGGAACCTTTCTTATTAGGCATGAAATACAATGCCAAGCCACTAGGAATCAATAAATCTCCACACCCTTTTGAATCAGCAAAGAAAGCACAGAAGTAGGCAAGGGGTTCTACGGACAAGCAAATTCCAAAACACTGGGTAAGACCATCAACACTGAAAGGAACCCACCAATAAATACATTTTTGAAACATTTACAAGCATTCCACCTTGCGTTTTAGAAAGACTGGAAAGGAGGGAAGAGACATTTATTCTTAGCTTAACTGAAATCTTAACAGTCCAATAATTATTAGTTCTAGAAGAGTAGTAATAATGCAGTTGAAGATGTATTACTTCTCTCTTGCTGTTACATTTCCCCTTCCCCTTCTCCTCCGGATCTCTTGATCAGTTTCATTCCACCCTGATGTGAAGGGGTGGTAACAGTGACTTTGTGAGCATCTGGAGTCCTTGGCCAGGAGAAGTCCGATACTCAGGTTTGTATTTCCTCCCCCTCCTCTAGTTCCCCTTAAGATAATTCTTCTCCCTTTGCTACCTTTTTTCTTTCTTCATTGGTATGCAGCTCCAATTCTGCACCTGAATGTAGTGTTTTACCTTTAGATACGTCAGGTAGTGTTTCTTTGCAACCTCCAAACGCACTTTCATCCAGCTCCACACTTGCATTTCTCTGAGTGACCGCAGGTGAGCCGTTTATCACCACGGGCCTCCAGTACCAAAAGCCCATGCCCCTTTCCCTAGTGCCTCACACCAATAATCCCCTGTGGTCCATCCTCCATCCTCACTGCTCCAGGGCCTGTGGTGCCCCAGCAGACCCGTACGCTCTACAGTGCACCACTGTGGTCAGCGCACAGAACACCTCGTTCTACAGAGAAACAACAATGCAAACCCATGGATGCGCCACACAAACTAAAGTTAGAAACAGGCACCTGGTAGAGCTGAACCAATTTAAGCACGGCTGCGGGCAGGCGGGGCACTGCCAGCGGCACAAGTTCCGAGACCTCGCAGACTCTGTGCAAAGCCGCAGCGCAGTGACAGCCGCGGCGATGGAGGGTCCCGCACCGCACCGCACCGCACAGCCCCGCACCGCAGCGCAGCGCGGCAGCGGCCGAGGACGCGCTCCTGCGCCCGCGCCAAGGTCGGCGGCAGCCGCGGGGATGTTGCCTGCGGACACGGTTTCAGCTCAGTGGGGTTTCCTTGCAAAAGAGACATCTTCTTCCACTAGTTTTTTTTTATTTTGCACAAAGCGCCCGGGTGCGAAGCTCCACACTCCGGTGCACGCGGGCACCGGGCAGGCACACGCTCTCCATCCGCACGGCCGGCCCTCAGCCCGCTCCCGTTTGCCAGAGCGGCTGGGGATGGGCAAGGCTGGCCCAGCCGCGCACGTTACCACCATGGGCACCCTCTGCCGGGGCTGGAGCGCGTCCCGGAGCGCCCGCGGGGACACGGAGCGCAGCGCCCGGCGGGGACCGCGGCCGCGGGCACACGGGCGGCACGGCCCCGGAGCGGCTCCCGCTACCCGGAAGCGGCGCTGCCGCGCGCGGGAGCGCGGCGCGGAGCGGCGGCAGCCCGGGTGGCCGAGGGCGGCGAGCGCGGCCGGTAAGGTCCGGCGGGGGATGCCCGTCGTCGTGCGCATCCCTTGCGACCGCTGCTGAAGGGGCGGCCGGCAGCGCCGGGCAGCGGTGCCGGCACGGGCGGAGCGGCGAGCGGGCGGGATTCCGGGCCGGCAGCGCGGACGCGCCCGGGCCCGCGCTGGGGGCGCTCAGCGCGGCCGCGCCGCTCTTGGGGCGGCGGGCTGAACTTCCCTCAAGGCAGGATTTTACTCGAAGGCGGTCCCGAACGCCCGGCGGGGACAGTCACACAAGCGAAGGCGGCAGCGGTGGCGGTGTGGCCGCAGACTGGATCTTAAAGTTGTTAACACAGTTAGCTCAAAGAAAAGTTATTGTAAAGTAAGCGTGTCGGTGACGGTTGATGCATGACCGCTGGCTACTGAGACAGAGGAATTAGAAAGAGGAAATCCCGTTTATCCCTGTGCACTCCTTTCCATTGTTCTTCAACCTACTGTACTTTTACTGATAAAGGCAATATTGCTAAGCTTTGAAGTGTTGTCAAATCTTGTTAATTTAGATAAAAACAGCCTTTAGATGTTCTTTAGAGATGTCGTTGTAAACATTAAGTATCTTGATTATATAACATTTGAAGGAATCTGCCAGGATGTTGCCAGGCTTTGTGATGAAGAACCTGATCTTCCAGTCATGGAAATAAAGAGGAGTTTTGACATTGTGATTTGGTAGGAAACAGGATATCATCCACAATTAACAGACCTAGAGAAATTAGTTCGTGTTATCTGTTGGTTATGTTGCATCTCTTGGTTTGGGTATTTTAAACATGTAAACACTGTCTGCAGAAAATGTAAAGAGCATTTAGTTTGTTTCGGGGGTTTTTTGTTCCTCTGGACCTTTAAGTTTCCTTTTCTACTTTCTAGGATTGTATTGATCTTGTTCACTCTTTCTTGGTAGAGTATTCTGATTAGTTAGTTATAAGGATGTGTTCAATCACGTGGTGCATAACGTGTTTTCAGAAATGTTTTAGATCGTGATAGATGCAAGGGTGAATAACCAGTACAAACACCATTGTAGCACATACATGCTCTGCTTTGGGGAGCTGAAGCCCATTTTTACATCTGTGGGGAAGGGAAGGCACAAGTAAGTGTAAAAGATTTGAGGTGTGGAATTAGGGCTGACACAGGTTAAATATTGTTCCCTCCCTGCATACTTACCCACTAAATAACATTTTTGGTGGAATATAAATTGCTAATGAAATTTCAGTTCTCATACAATTCTAATTCTGGATAGATCTATACAGATTCAGCAAATGTCATACTGTCAAACCAGTTTTTCAGAAACCTCATTTAGTTAACCTGATTCAGTGTCGTCAGAGTATTTTAGATTATAGTAGAGAACAATCCTCATCCACGTATGTCACACATAGCCCGATGCAATGCCTGAGATGTACTCAGTTTTGCTCATCTGCCTCATAACATCACCCATTGTTTCCTTATGTGCTTTTTTCAGGAAAGAAAATCCCAAATTTTTGTGACTGTTTTTGTGGAAGAGAGCAGTGAAATCTTTAGAGGTAACAGGCTGAAAACACTAAGCTTTTCCCCCCACCCTGCCTTGTGAATGACACCAAAACTTAATCTAAAAATTTAGTTTGTGAATGGATAAACACATAAAAAAAATAGTTTGTGAATGGTAGAACCTTCAGCACATGAGCAGACTGTATTTGTGCCAGTCATTTCAGTGGGGCTGTTCCCAAGAGAACGTGCGTGCAGGAGAATGTATGCCAATATATTTTCTACAGCTATGCCTTAAATACCTTTTTCCATGCACAATCCTGAAGAAATCTTTTGTAAAACATCTAAATATTTCAGTGCTGTCATTTCAGAAGGGTGCTTGATTCAGTGTTTATTCATCTTCTTTGTATGTTAGTAAATAATGAAACTTTTTGGAGCAAGAGTCATTCCACCACTGAAGTCAATATACGTGTATTAAGTATTTACTTTTAAAAAAATATTAATCAGCTGTAGACTTATGAATATTAATAAGTATTATAGTTACATAATGCTCATACCTAGTTAAAAGTTAGAGGAGAATGCAGAAGTTTCAGAAATTTTTAGCTTGCTTTTCATGGTTTTCTTCTCTAGAAAAGAAAGTGAGTCCATCTGTATGCCTCCCAACACTCAGAGATATCCTAAATTTTCCTAAGCTGCTTTTGTAGTAGTAATTTTACAGGGTAGTTTCACTGTATGTCACATAATAAGAAATCTGGAACTGAAGCAGTCAATTCTGTTATGTTCTCCACCCTGATGCTTATTTAGTTAAACAGATAAAGATAGATAATAAAATATTATTGATGTAATTTGCCATGACTAGTAGGAAAATTATTTCTTTTGATACAGCTAGGGAAAAAAAGTGGTATGCTTTTTAGAAATGAGTGTATTTTAGAAATAAGTATATATGTACGTTCAGGTGAACCAATGAAGAGATGCAGAAGCTCAGGGAAAAGATGAATGAATGATGTATCTCCTAGTTGTATTAGATTATACAAATGGTACACTGATCTGTTTGGAAAAGCTAATGCTGTTTTTGAACTGCAGTTAAAATATGGACTCATAGCTGTTAGATCTTTCTTCATCAAACACAGCAACTCTAAATGCTGATGTATGGCAGCTCTGCAGAACTCCAGACACACACAAGTATAAAATGCCTCAGCATCCAAGTGTTCCCTTTGCTGCTTACCCAGCAGCCTCAGATGTTTCCAAACAGTGATAGTGTCTGCTGCTGCCTAGCAGTGCCACGGGCACAGTGACCAAGAGTGCTCTGCTTGAGCACCTCTTTCTCCTGAGAATGCCTTTCAAGGAACGTAGGAAAGATACTCTTGAACAGGAATTCAGCTCCCAGTGCAGGGAGCACAGCTCTTCAACAGTAGGACAGAGGCAAAGATGGGGCGGTCGTTGTTTGACTGACAGACTGCAGCTATGTTGGTGGAAGAGATCAGCTTTCCCCAGCACGACCAGGAGAAAGAAAGGATGTACAAGAGTCTTGGGCCTGTTTGTGCCTACTTTTAATACAGAGAAGAACCAAGGTGTGATAATGAATGAATTACAGATCTCAATTACAAGACACCCCTCTTCTTGTATAGCTACCTAAAACATAAAATTGCCAGGTATTGCATGTGTAGTGGGGAGTGGACACTTTTTAACCCTCTTGCATTCTGATTTTTGTAGCTCTCAATTCAAACTCCCAAACTAGTGGGAATAATCTAGATATATGCAATAGTTACTCATCAAAACACTATTATTCCCTTAAGGATTAAAATGTGTAATTTAATGCTTGTATAAGTGTATAATTTAATGTATCGCTACAAATATTTATGAAATACATAAGTATGCATTTCTTTGCACTAGAAGAAGTTACCAAATACTGGTGAGGGAGCTAATGGTGAACAGTGCAGTGAACAAAGAAAATGCTACATAACTGAAATCTTGTGAGAATACTGTTGAGCTACATTTATTCATTTCTGTGGAGTGTTGCCAGTATACCTTTTCCCTTTGCAGTAGTCTCAAAATATTGTAATTATAATATACCTATTTCATATATAAACAGTTTCTGTAGTGGAAGGCAGAAAACACCCGATAGAGGCTCGCTTTTGCACTCAAGTTTTTAAGACTGCCATCTGAGTACCAGCAGGCTTTAACTATTACTGTCTTTTGAGACTTACTTTAGTAAAAAAGTGAATGACTTACACGGCTAACCTTGCTTCCCTTTGAGCAGTTCTGCAGCTCAGCTCTTTGAGGGGCTGATGTTTGTTTCTTTTGTCCCTCAGCAGGTGGCTACAGTTTCACTGAAATAGCTGATCTTGCTGTGGAACAACATCTGTGGCTTTCTGGGGTCACACTGCTTGGAGTAATGCAAATATTTCCTCCTGGGTCTGACCCTTATTTTTGTTTAAAGATACAGTTCTAATTTATTGCTTAGCATAGGCTGTTGTGTTGGAATTTATACTGAAGGACTGCTGTTATTCAAATCTGACCTCCATCTTTCACAGCTGCTAAGAAGCAGGGGTGTAACTTTTGTGGATTTTTCAGAGCTCCACAGAAGATACTAAAGGCAACTGAAGTGCAGAACATCAGAAAAGCTCTGCTGGGTCAGACCAGTGGAGCTTCATACTCAGGGTTAGGTCTCTGACAGTGAAATTAAGGGATGCTGTTAGGGACTAGACACAAACCTGGCTGTTTTATGAACCTGTTCTCTTGTACTCTTCCAGCATACTTGTTTGTCACATTACAGATGGTGGGTATATATCTGCTCAGTGGTTTTAGAGCCCATTTGTGGACCTGCAGACCAAGGACCTGTCTTTTTCAAACTTGCTGTGACAGCAAGTTCCAGAAGCTTACTACTATCTTTGTAAAGAAGCACTTAGTTCTTTATTAACTGATGTTGTGCTGGCTTTGTAAAAGGTCCCTTAGTTCTATTACTAAAAGATTTAGCAAGCAGCTTTACGTTAGTTTATTTACCATGTTCATGATTTGATTGATCATATCTTGCTTCAGTCTTCTTTTCTAACTAAAAAGCCCCTGAAGTCTCTTTTTCTAGTCACTCCATCTTTGTGGTATTTTGTTCTCTGACTAGAGTGTTCTTGAGATGCAGAGACCAGAAGTACTTGAGACATGGATGGACCAAGGTTGTACAAATGTGCACTGTCTTTTTCTCAATGCCTTTCCTCATGATACCCAATATTTTGCTAAGGTTTTTCTTGCTGTTGTACATAAGGATCTGTCAATAATGGCTGCTGGATTTTTTCCTCCAGTCATTTGTCAGCATGTTGTATATGTGACTGAGATTATTTTTCACGAGATGTATTAGCCTACATATATCTATACTGAAGCTCAATTGTCATCTTTTTGTCCACTCTGAGTGCTTCTGGAGCTCTTTGCCACCATGGTGGCATTAGTTCTGTGCTCAAAGACAACTTCTTGTGCTTGTCTCCATTTTGCAAACAGTATCATTCCTTGTGAGTCTTTTTGCATGTGTGTCTGTGAGGAATAAAAGTGCCATGGCATATCAGACAAGAGTGTTCATAGATTTTAAACTCACTGAATGTAACACAGGCTCTGGTTTTTTGTTTTGTTTTGTTTTTTTCCTTGTACCTCAGTAAACTCAGACAAGGTAATGCAATGTCCAGAAATCCAGACCACATAAAATAGAAAGAAAACTCTTAAGAAATGCCATTCCTAGTACTTATTCCAACTGCAATGAAAAAGGAAGTGAGGATGGTGGTATGTGGTATTTGATCCATGTTGATTGCTGTTAAAATTATTTTTAATTGAAACCAAAGAAGCTTTTAAAAATATCGGAGTGCAAAGCAATATTTACTCAAATACCTTTAATGCTTTCCTAGCCTCTCTACGGATTCAGTACACAACAGCCTTAACTCCAATGCTATCTAATTAATCACCTTTCATTTGTGAGCTACATTTCATAGTACGATGAAAATAATAACCAAAGCTTTTCTTCTCCTGCCTCCCAGTTGTATTAGGGGTTAAGCTGGAAGCCTGCCATATAGAAAGGATCTCTTCACATTCCTTGTTCAAAGCCAGGCTAGTCATTCGATACTCAAAGGATGTCACTTGGAAAAGCTGCTGCATTGCCAACAGCACCGAGTGAGGTTTAAAGAAACGTCAGAAATGTATTATTAGTGTGCTGTGTTACTACTTAGTGCTACGTAGTAATAAATGTGGTTTCACAGCAGGGCAAGTAACTCCAGCAGCCTGTCTGTGATGATGCTGTCTCCCTTCTCCCAGTCACAGTAACACCATCCTTCCTAACCTTTCCAGAACTACTTCAGCACATAAGTCTGGCAGAAGATCACTCCTCCACCCTGGCCACTGACTTAAAAAGCCAAACAAAACAGAAACCCACTTTCTGCCAGCTTGAATCTGCTTCACAGAGGACGTTATGAAGGCTGTGCAAGGGAGGACATAGAACTATGAAGGTAAATGCAAGAGGAGAACAAGATGGTTGAGCAGCAGCAGTTAACAATATGTGCTTGTCAAACCCCAGTCTGAAGTGCTGTTCTGTTTCTTGATTTATTGTTATTCAAGTACTTGGCAGAAGTACCGGACGATTTTAGTAGGCAGCCTATTGCTTTGTTAATTTAAATATTTAGCTTAAAGAATTACATTTTACTTTCTTTGAAGAAAGGCCCCAGCTGCTCTACTACTAATTTATGAGGTCATATGCTGTGTAAATCTGGTTGTCTAAAGGACTGTTACCCACTGTAGTTGACTGCACCAATAGGGTTCTTCTCTCATTTTGTTTTCCCCTGTAATACAATTCATCAGAACAGCTTTTTCAAGTTAGCAAGTATTCAAGTACATAACAAATGTATTTCTACTAGTTGATTTTTGTCATGGGTGGTTTAAAGTTATATTCCTGATCTATTAAATGGGTGCTGTTTGTTGGAATCAAACCAAAACAAGACAGTTTGCCAAAGAAAACGGTTTTGGTATATTGCATTTGCACGGTGTGCTTGAAACTCACCCAGTGCTTCTTTATGACAAGCATGTCCATGTGTACAAGTAGCTGTGAAGTCAAAACAGCTTTTTGTTGGCTGATGCAGCTCAGAATTAGTTTAGTGAGCTCATGGTAACCTGCAGGATGTCATGGATAGACATGAACACTGTCAGCCTGCTCTTCCTTTTCCCCAGTACTTACAGGCCACAGTGGTGATAATTGCTGAATCTGTGCTGAATACTTTTGGCAGCAGTGATAGAGCAGTGCCAAATGTGCTGCTTATCTGCCTTAAACAGACTATCATTGTAAAAAGTGGAACTTGTGTCCCATTGTTCAATTGTGACAATATCTTCTTGTGTTAAGATGGGTGCATTCATCTAACATTTTATAAGGTACTTCAGAATCATCAGCCAAGTTTCACTACAGTCTTCCCTAGGAAAAATACTCAGATGTAGGTACAATGGTACATGTAAATGAAGCCACACCATTGTGGGCATCCAAAAAATACTAACAAGTTAATTTCTTTCATATGTATACTTTTTCATAAGGTCTGTCAGGCAGCTAGTAAGAGTGGCATTAGAACAGTGGTAGCATTGTACTGTAAAAATCTATTATACTAATGTATACCTAAAGCTTTCAGCATTTGCAAGATTTTTCCATGTAGAAAAATAATACATTTAACTTGGATTTCAGACTGTGTAGTAAAGCCACTGGTTTTTCTTTTTGCCAAGCTTTTGAGTATGCTAGATTTTTGTTAAAAGGCCACAGAAAATGCACCTTAGTGCAAATACAATCATAAACCAAATTCTGTTATATGTAGTTTATACTGTATTTGCTTAAAATAAGCTAGGCAGTAACAAAGCACTGCTAAAAGTTGGCTAAAAAATTCAAATATATGAGGTTTTCATCACAAGAATTAAAATTCAAATGAAAGCTTCTCACCAAGTTAGTGGCAACTAGGTCATATTGAGTCTGATGTCTCTAGTTTACTTATTGGGATTCACCTCTACCCAATCAGTTTCTTAAAGAGCACATTACTTCTGCTCTGAAATACTTTTACACAAATATTGCTGTGTTGCAGCTAAGATGAAAAAATGTTTTGTAAACCCTGAAGAGACTGGCCTCCTTGCTGGTGATTTTCATGTGCAGATTTCAGATTATTCTACCAAGTCAAACATTCCCATTGATTAATCAGGCATTGAATTGGGCCAGAAAAGTCTGGAATAGAATTTGAGCATCCAGTCTGCTACTGATTCTGTAAGTTGGATCATATTAAACATTTCACATGGAAGATATACTGCTACTGGGAAAGAGTTTTTATCCATGTATTCTACCTAATTCATTAAATGAGAAGTCAATGGGAGCAGAATTCAACATATTATGTCCTAATTACAAGTGAGGAGGAGATACTGAATACCATCTTATTCTGAATATTTCTCAGGAGAAAATAAATTATTTTTTTTTTTGCTCATGCGTGCATGAACATAGAGGCATAAAGCAAAATACTAGTAAAACTAAGAACTAATTTGTGGAAGTTCTGAACTATTTGTTCATTTGTCATAGGGAAATTAAATAAATTAAATATTTCTGTTAGGCTTTCCTCCAAAGGTGTTACACTTGTAATCATCTCCTTCATAGTTTGAAAACAGTAAGAAATGAAAATTTCTGTATAACCCATAAAAGTAAGCAGCCTACAAGTGCTAATCAATCTTGTCTTTTGTGAACTATGTCCCTGTTTTCTGAGCAGTCACTCAGCCAAGTTACTGCATGCTTTCCTTTTGCTGCTAGAGATGAGTTGGAGGTGATTGCTCTCTAAAGAGGCTTCTGGCATGAGCAAACAAGTCAGTTACATCTGAGCAATTCCTATGCACTTTGTACAGTTGTCAGTGACATGAAGACTCAGATCTGTTGTAATTTTTGTGTAAGACCTTTAGGGTTCAGGTGGTTTTGACTGCATGTGACCTAATATTCTGGAACTATTTAGAATTGCTGTTAATGAAATTCTTTCTATCAAGATACCAGTAAAGGTTCTGTGAGTTTTTTTCCAACTTTGATAGATGTACCCAAAGTTTTTTAAATTAAGGGGTTTTTTCTATCTTTCAAACTATCATTTTTATGTTATTTTCATTATTATGTTATTTTATAATTTTTTATGTTATTGGGTCAAGTTTTGACTTACACAAGATACAGCTGTTTGAAAGTAATTTTTAGTCATGGCTTTAACAACATGACTTCGAGCAGCTGTATTAAAAATACTACCTGATTTTACATTTTAAAAAGTGTTTTGTAAGTCTCTTATAGACAAAGTACGAGTGTCAGGTAGAACAAAGCAATTACCATCTTGTATGTTGAAACATCCTCTAAATAAAAAGTATGATGATCAGTACCAGAAATCAGTTTTGGTATCAGTTATAGTTATCAGTTATATGCTTTTAGTAAAGACACAGTCTTTTGTATGTTGAAACATCCTCTGAATAAAAAGTATGATGATCAATACCAGAAATCAGTTTTGGTATCAGTTATAGTACCAATGCTTTTAGTAAAGAAACAGTCTTTGAGACTGAGGTATCTGTAGAGCATGTTGAGAAGATTGCACACAGTGCAGCACACACACGGTGTCAGGTTTGACTCCTGGATTCCTGCTGCTGTGAACACCAGAGCAGGTTTGCTCAGGCAGAGATAATCCAAGGAGCAGTGCTGGCTGTTTGTTGTGGATCTCTTTCAGTCACATTGTGCACGTGGCATGGCCAGAACTAGTTGGTCCCAGCCACTAGAGAGCAGCTGGGAGAGCAGGGTGAGACCTGCCGGGTCGGGAAGTATTTTCAGGTGCAGGGACATACACGGCTACCTGGTGGCACTTGTGCTTGCCTGGGTGGGTGAAGTTCAAGGACACTACAGCTTGGTCCCCTGGCTGAGCCTTTGCCAGTGGCACCACAGTTGTGTGAGGACGCTACAGACTCAAGAGGCTGCTCACTGCTTTTGTGACCGCCTGCTCCTCTTGCAGAATCTCACAGACTCAAGAGCCTGGCCTGGCAGTTCCAAAGGGATGGTAAAAATGCTGATCAGAAGTTTAGTTTCAACGCTTTTCAGTTCAAAAATAATCTAAATACGCATGTATTTATACAATGTCTACATTGTTAATCTCTTATGTTGTCTTGTGTACTACCTCAGAATTCTGTAATTGCTTCCATTTTGTATGTTTTGTTCTTACACACCAGGACTTCATAACTCACTGGATGATGTTTTTGCCTGATTTGTCAAGAAAGGCATGATACTAATAACATATCTCTTCTTTGTTATCTGTTAGACTATTTTAATGGAGGAAAATAAAGCAATTTGTTCGACTTTCATATATTTTCATTGTTGAAAAATAAAATGTTGATCTTTTGAAGATGATGACCACCATAAAGATTGTTGTAATCTTAGTTTCTTTCACTATACAGTAGCTAAATAACAATGTTAATGTTAGATGTATAAGTACCAGGTTATCTCATGGGATATTAAAGATTTCTGTTTCAGAAGACAAAAACTTACAGTTAGCCATTCTAATAGGTGGTAATATGAAAGATAACTAAAAGAGCCATGGAGATGACATGTGGATTTTAGAAACTAATGAAACCCATATTGGTTGAATTGAGGTCTTAAAACTGGAATACTGTTTCTTTCTTTAACTAGTAAAACTTAGGCTAGAAATTTTTCAATGAGATGCAATGACATGCTTAAAGACAAATAGATTTTCTGACTCTCTAAGTAATACAGTTATATTGTAATGAAAATGCAGGAGGTGTTCCCTGTGAAGCACAGCACTAATATTTCATGTATAACCAATATGGAAGTGATTAAATTGCTTTACAAGCAAAGGTTTGTAGCATGGTAACACGAAACATTACAAGCCAATACTGCCTCTATCTGAAGATGTATTGTTTTGTGCTAATGAAATATTGTAATAACCTTGCACACCTTTAGAGAAGAACATCAACTATAGCTCTCTGGAGTTATTTTTCAAACAGTGTAATGATTCTGCTTAAATAATTTTTATGCAAAGAACAGTTAAAATAAACAAAACCATAAGAATGAAATGACCATATTAAATGCTAACAGATGCATAAAAGGTGGGCTAATATATAAGTATGCAGATAGAAATAAAATATTTTTTTTAAAAGTGAAAGTAGTTGATTGCCAAATGGATTTCACATTCATTCAAAGCCCGCTGGACTAAATAAAAGTGATCTCCAGCACCTCCGTTAAATTCAGTCAGTCATAAGTTCCTTCCTCTCTTCCCTAAGAATAAAAAGCCAGGACTTCTGTGAATTTCGGTGAATCCAGTTTTCAGGATTTAGGTAGCTACAGTGTATTTAACAGCTTTCTTTCAGACACAGTGTTGCAAAGATTTACACTTTCCCACAAAAACTGTACCCTGGGGCTTCATCAGGATAGTATCTGTATAGTATCTGAATTTGTTCACTGCCAGGAACACCT